AGGGGGGGGGGGGGGTAATTGACCCATGTCTGACACCCCCATCCTGGGCCCCAGGCCTGCCCAGGAGTCCACCAGCATCACTGTGCATCCCAAAACCATCTCTCCCTCCCTGGCTTTTTTTCACAATAAATCATCAGATTATCAAAGCCAGGGGATAAGCATGACAGCCCGGTAGTGGGCATTTTCAGATGTCAGCACCAGATCCTCACCTGTCACCTGACCCACCACCAGATTCCTCATCATCTGCCAGATCCCCACTTGTCACCGGATGGATCACCAGATTCAGACCTGTTACCTGAACCACCACTTCTCAACTGACTGACCACCATATCCCCATCTTTCACCTGATCAACCGCCAGATCCGCCCTTTACCTGATGCATAGCCAGATCTCCACCTGTCACCTGACTGCCTGCCAGATCCTCACCTGACCCACCGCTAGGTCCCCACCTGTCACCTGACCATCCATCGGATCCCCACTTGTAACCTGACCATCCGTCAGATCCCCACCTGTCACATGACCAACTGTACTGACTGCCAGATCCCCCACCTGTCACCTAACTGACCATCATATCCCTCCCATCATCTGACCGACCACAAAATTCTCACCTTTCACCAGTGGGAATCCGGTGGATGATCAGGTTACAGGTGGGGATCTGGCAGTGGGTCCCACTGCCAGATTCCCACCTGTAACCTGATCATCCACCGGATTCCCACTTGTTACTTGACCATCCATCAGATCCCCACCTGTCACCTGATGGATCGCCGGATTCCCACCAACAAATCTCCAGATTCCCACCTGTTACCTGACCCACCATAAGATCAGCTGACCGACTGCCAGATCCCCACTTGCCATCTTCATCTGAGCAACCACAAGATCCCCACTTGGCACCTGGCCACCTGTCAGATCACCAATTTACCCACTGCCAGGTCCCAATTTTTCACCTGACTGTTCATCAGGTTACCACCTGTCATCAGACCATCCACCAGATCCCCACCTGCCACGTGACTAACTGCCAGATTCCCCACCTATCATCTCACCAAGCGCCAGATCCCCCACCTATCATTTCACCAACCACCATATCCCTACCATCACCTGGCAGACCAGATTCCCACCTGTCACCTGACCCACCGCTAGATCCCCACCCGTCACCTGATCATCTATCAGGTCCCCACTTGTCACTTGGCCATCCACTAGATCACCAACTGTCATCCGATAGATCACCTGATTCCCAGCTAACAGATCTACAGATACCCACCTGTTACCTGACCCACCATAAGATGCTCACCTGTCACCTGACCCATCGCTAGATTCCTACCTGTCACCTGACCACCCCCCTGCTCCCCACCTGTCACATGACCACCCCCCACATCCCCCCCCTTCACACACTCAATCCCCACCCCCCAGATCCCCACCTGTCACACGACCACCCCCCCAGATCTCCACCTGTCACCTGACAGACCACCAGATTCCCACCTCTCACCTAACGAACTGCATCATATATGGGCGATACATAATGCGGTACAGATGGGACATATATGATGTAGTATGAATGGGACATATATGATGTGGTGTAGATGGGACGTATATAATGCGGTATAGATGGTACATATAAGATGGGGTATAGATGGGACATATATGATGTGGTATAGATGGGATGTATGATGCAGTATAGATGGAACATATATAATTCAGTATAGATGGGATGCATATAATGTGGTATATAGATGGGAAGTATATGTTGCGGTATAGATGGGACATATATAATGCGGTATAGATAGGACATATATAATGCGGTATAGATGGGACATATATAATGGGGTATAGATGGGACATATATAATGGGGTATAGATGGGACATATATATCATGGGGTATAGATAGGACATATATATCATTGGGTATAGATAGGACATATATATCATTGGGTATAGATGGGACATATATATCATTGGGTATAGATGGGACATATATGATCAGGGCCGGATTGATGAGAAGGCAACCGAGGCCCGGCCTCGGGGCGGCTGGGAGCAGAGGGGGGGCACAGATTTGAAGTCTCCCGATGCCCAGAGCATTGAGTTCCAGGCGCCGGGCGGTAATTTGTTTTCTACATTTAGCCCTGCTTTGCAGAAGCCGGGCTAAATGTTGTGTGGGGAAGTCGCTTGTTTCTTTACAAGTGATCTCGGCGATGTCGCCAAGATCACTTGTAATTAGACTGCAGC